TTTCCAGGGACAAAACGGAAGAAAGACAGTGAGGCAGGGAGATGGAAAAGCAACTCAAAGGGACAGTTTATGAGAGGATTATGTCAGCCTCGTTTACGAAGATAGAACAGTTGAAATACTGGTAAATTGAACCAGCAATCATCAAGTTAAAATCATTAAAAATAGACTAGCAAATTTATTAATATAAACTACTGTATTAACAGATGAAAGACTATATGCTCATCTTAATATAGAAATGTTGCTTAAAAACCAATATTCAATCATCATGAAACTCTTAGCAAACCAGAAATGGAAAGAAATCTCCATAACATCATAAAGGGTAATTATGAGAATCTCATAGTCATCATGATAATAGAAATATTTGAAGTACACTCTTTAAAATCAAGAGACAAATAAAAATGCTTACTATCATAGCTTCAGCATTGTGCTGTAGGTCTTGGGCAGTTCAATAAGACAGAAAAAGTAAACAAGTGGCATAGACATTAAGGAAGAAACAAGTTCATCATCATTTGCAAATGATATGATTGTTTAAATAGAAAACGCAAGAGAATCTACAGAGAAATGTAATTTGTTAGAGTTCAGGAAGGTTGCTAGATGCAAAACCAATACATAGAAATTAATAACATTAATATGTTTTAGCAATAAAAATAAATATTCAAAAGGACAACCCAAAAGATACTGTACCTAGGGATAAGAAATTTAAGAACTTTACATAAGACAGTATAAAATGTTACAGAAGAATGTAAAAGAAGGCCTATATATAAATTGAAAGATACACCATGCTGATGTGTGGGAAGGCTTGAAATTATAAGTGAGGCAAGTTTTCCTGTGGTAATAAATAAATTCTATGCATTTACAATCAAAGTTTCAATAGAGTTCTAAGAAAAAAGCTTGAAAAATCTAACCCTCAAATTGAAATGGAGAAGAAACAGGAAGAACCTAGATAATTTTCAAGAAGGCTGAAAAGGAAAGGTGATCAACCAGGTCAAATCTTATTATAAAGCATTTAGATTGGTGCAGTGTTGACTCAGGGAGTAACAAATAACTCACTGGGAGAAACAGACTTGGATATGCATGGGAATTTGGTTCATGACAGAGGTAGTAGAAGGAATCACTTGGGAAATGATGACTTATTAAAACTGGTGTTGGGATAATCCATATGGAAAAACATTAGAAGCTTATCTCCTGTATATATGCGTGTGCATGCATGCAACACACACACACACACACACACACACACACACACACACACACACACACAAGTCTCAGAGGATGAACTAAATGCAGAAAGAAATATTATGGCTTTTAGAAGAAAATATAGGAGAATATCTTTATGGAATATTACATAACTAAAAAAATAATAAAATAATTGTTCAAAAGCATTGACTAAAGCATGCATGCAATATGGTCATTCACATAAATTTGCAAAGATACAAAACACTACTTTATGTGTGCAGGGCCAGACGCCCATTCCTCTGTTTGCCATAGCTTCAACTTCATTTCACATTTTCTTTTCCAGGTGAGGAAACATTTCTCTTTCCACTGTGCTTTTCCCTGCAACCAAATTGCTGTATTTTGTCAAATGTTTCCCCAGATTTTTGGTGTGACTAGTAATGGGTACCCTAGGGTCATCAAAGGGCTCCTTCAATGACTGTGGGAGCTCACTGGGTGGTGATGGGAAAATCTGCTCTAGTCACTGTTAACACTTTTGCATCCTCCTGCACTTTTCATTTCCTTTTGGGGTCCAATTTGATACATTGCTCTGACCCCAGTGAATTTCTAGTTTCTTTCTGAGCACAAAAAAGTATCTGTATATCAAATAGTCCCACAGCAAACAGGTAGGCAGGCAGGCAGGGAGGGGCAGGGAGCTACCTTTATCATCAGGCAACAGTGCAAAGTTAACATTTCAGAGAGGTATTATGTCAGGGAGGGGAAATTAGGGATGGGAACCACTTATGTCCAAAAGGCTGCATGTATCAAGAGCATGGTGATAGAATCAGTTTCTGATTCTTCACTGGCTACGATTTAATTTCTACTTAAAAATACACAGCGTGATCTTTGTAACTCCAGTCTATCCTAAAGTCATTTACTCTTTTCCTTTGGGCTCCCAGCAACACAGCAAACTTAAAAAAAAATCTGGAGTCTGATCATTTTCCTGAGGCCAAGGATGTTCAACATCACTCAATACCCTTCACATCAATTTCTAGAACTAGGACAAGATAAGTAGATTTTTATCTTTTATATTTTTTCTAAGTGTGTTTATAAAGGAAATTGTGTCAATAATTTAGTGAGTACAAAATCTAAAAAAAAAACTAGATTTAATAACAAGTGAGAATGAAAATTAGTAGAACTTTGGAAAACAATTTGGCAATATCTCTAAAATTAAAATTGTATGTCCCTTTGACATAGCATTTCCACTTCTAGGAATTCATCCCTCACATTCACCCATGTTATGTATACAGAGCTATGAGTGTACAGACAATAATATGGTGGTTACCAAAGGGAAAAAGGGGGTTGGGGGGAGGATAAAGGGGGTCAAATACATGGTGACGGAAGGAGACATGACCTTGGGTGGTGAATACAAAATGCAATATACAGATGATGTGTTATAGAATTGTACACTTGAAACCTATATAATCTTATTAATCTGTGTCACACAATAAATTTAATAAAACTAAAAAAATATATATATATGCGTGTTAGGATATTCACCAAAGAATTATAATGGCAGAATATGAGGATTATGTTGATTAGGAGCAACATAAATGCCTATCAATAGGATAATAGCTAAATAAATTTTGCTTCATCTATGTAAGTAAAATCTATTTAGTCAATTTCTACAAAATATCTGCTGCTGGGATTTTTATTGCGATTTCACTGAATCTATAAATGAATTTGGGCAGCACTGACATTTTAACAACAGTGAGTATTCTAATCTACGAACATGAGATATCCTTAAGTTTATTTAAATACTTTAAATTTATATATAATTTTCCCCCTCTATGGTTAATGCTTCTCATGTCCTACGTTAATCAATTTTTCTCTAACCTGAAGTCATGAAGATATTCTCCTTTGTTTTTTATTTTTCCCCTCTAAAAGCATTCTGTCTGTCTTTCACAAAGAAATTTAGAATTTAACTTACCTAGAATTTGACTCTAGTGTGGGGTGTAAAGTTAAATGTTCAATGTAATTATTCTATTGGGATTCTTAATTCTTCGGCATCATTTAATGAAGACCGCCCTTTCTCCATGTTTCCTAGTGCCATCATTGTCACAAATTCAATGCCTGCACGTGCATTGGTCTGTTTATGGGCCACCTGTTCTGTTCTACTGGTCTGATTAACCTTACACCAATGGCACACTGTTTCAATCATTAGAGCGTCATAGTAAATCCTGATATCCAGGAGCCCAACTGCTCTTCTCTCGCCTTGTTTTTCTTTCTCAAGTATCTTGGCTATAACTTACTCCTTGCATTTTCATATAAATCTTAGAGTTGGTTTGTCAAGTAGTCCAAAAAAAAAAGCCTATCGAGATTTCGATTGGGATCAAACTAAATTTATTAGTCATTTAGGGAGTCTTACAATACTGTGGCTTTGAACCCAGAAATATGTCTCCATTTATTGAATTTCCTGCAATATTACTCAATATTTTAAATAATTTTCTTCATAGAGATCTGACTCATACTTTGATAACCTTATTTCGAGATACTTGATATTTTAGAATGCCAGTGGTAATAGTATTTTAAAAAATATTTTTTCTTTTTGTTGCTGATATATATTTGTAATTAATTTATGTATATTAATTTATACCCAGCTACCTTACTATACTATGATTAATGCTAATAGTTTATCTCTAGATTATATCGGCTATTTTATGAACAGAATCATATTATCTATAAATCATGGCATCTTTAGTACTTCTTTTTTTATTCTTACGCCTTTTATATCTTTTCCTTGCCTTACTATACTGGCTAGGATTTCCTTTACAAAGTTGAATAGAACTGATAAAACGGACATCTTTGCTTTTTATTTTTTCTTCCAATTTCAAAGAAAAAGATTTCCATGTTTCAAAATTAAGTATTACGTTTGCTACTTTTTAAAAATTGCTTACCCTTTATCAGAGTACAGAGATTCCTGTCTATTTTTACTTTTCTGTAAGTTTTAAATTATGAACAGATATCAAACTTTATCAAATGATTTTTCAGCAATGATTAAGATGACCGCACGATTTTTCCCCTTTAATTTATTAATAGAAATAGAAGATATTTCCTATTATGCATGTGTTAATGTTATAGTCAGCAAAAAATTAAGAGTTAGAGGAAGAGAAAGCTCTACAGAGCTCTTGTTACTATACCAAAGGTACGTCCAGCTTGAGCTGAGGTGGGGGCACCTCTCCCAGGTGTGTTGGTGCAGAAAGTTTTTTGAAAGGCCCCACATTCTGAAATACAGAGCTTCCATTTGCAAACCTAGGGAGCTAGAATAATCTCAGAATATTAAGGTCATTTTGAAGTATATGAGCCATGATAAGTGAATCAGCTTCATTCATGTGTTATTTTCTGAATATGTTCCAGAACCATTTATTCTTATTTCTCTATCAATTTTGTGCCTACCCCTCTTTCCAAGTAGGCCTTCTCTGACCTTCATCCATGGGTGCATCTAGCAGGTAAATGCATGTGGTGGGGAACTCACATGATCAGATCACCCCAGACCAATGAAATCAGACCCTCTGGGACCGAGACCCAGGCATCGATATTTTAAAAAGTTCCCCCAGGGGGTTCCAATGCACAGCCAAGGATGAGAACCATTAATCTATAGCTCTTCAAAGCTGAAAATCATATGTGCGTTTATGAAACCAAAGCCCACAGAGAAAAGATATATGATCATTACAAAGTCAGATACCCAATTAGAACGGGCAGGATAAATAAAAGAAAAAAAAGCTGCAAAATGAAGAAGAGAAGAGGACAAAAAGGGAAGACATGAGAACAACAGAAAATCTACTCACTCCATTCTCTCTGGAAGTTCAGTTTGGGTCATGAACACACAATTGACCAAAATAGTGACTGTGATAAATGAACTGAACCACGTGAGAAGCTGTGTTAAGGAAAAGCTGAGTCACCATGTTTCCCTGTGGCATCTATGATCACCCTGACCCTGAACGATTAAATTCATAATTCCTAGCTAGGATCAGCTTTATGGTCTTGTCACTTAATAACCACTAACATTTCTGAGTGCCTACCCTGCACTGAGTACTTTGTCCATATTATTTCTAATACAACTAATCTACAAGTGGATATTATTATCGACATTTTAGAGCTAAGAAAACAGGCTGAAAAAGCTTAAATAATTTTTCCATGGTCACACAGCTAGTCAACCCTGATGTTGAGATGTGAACTCAGACTGTTTGATAATAGAACCCTAAGCAAGATGAAAGGAAACAGAATCCCCCTTCCAAAATGTCCTTCTGCCCTGAAGCCTTCATTTCACTATACAATATGGCCTGAAATTTCATCCAGCAAATGTCTCTTTTTTTCCTGTAAGACAGAATACTCCTAGGAAGTTAGAGTTAAGGGGAGGGCTACAAACTTTCATGGGAATCAGTTTAGTCAGGTTGTTTTCTTAATACAGCTAAGGTCAGGCACACTGAGTAGGTGGACTTCTGGCTAGGAATGGGGGAGGTAGCACAGGCTAGTGAACTGCTGGGTCCAGGAGAAAATTCCATGTAGGATTAGGCTGCTGTGGAGAATTCTGAATAGCCAAAGAGGAGAATCTTGGAAAGGCTGGGCAAGGGAATTTTCAAAAGGGGAAGGAAACACTGAAAAGGAAGGTGAGTGGAAGAAGGTAAATAAATGGTGGAGAAAATCCAACAGTAAATTTCTCCTACCGGACATTTTCCTTAGGACTAGCTGAGTTCTTAACAATTACTTCCTGAAGAAAAGTAAAGACTGAAGATGAACTTGACCTATGAAGAGAGGTCAAGTTCATCTTCAGAAAGACCACTCATCTTTCATAATTTTGACTTGAGCAGAATTACTTAAATCTATTTTAGTTTTCTGTAAATGCCTTTAACGTGCCCCGTTTTACAGTTACTTAGGAACACATGTATTTCAAAAAGAGAAATTCTACTAATTAAACCATCTTTTTCTATTGACTTGCAATTAAATTAGAAATGTGTTCATATGGGGAGGAAATGCTAACCCAAGGATTAATTTAAAATCGTATCCTCAATCCCATAAACCTTTAAAAGTAAAATGACATATTATACATAATATTATTTATGAAAACATAACAAATTTAATTAGAAGTATAATTTTGATGAAATAGTGCTAATAGGACTCTGAGAAATCCATACCTTGAAGAGTGTTTTTTGGAGGTACGGCTACCAAATTCATGAGATTTAAATATATAAATGCAGACTTTTGATAAGTCTGTGATCAGGAGAGCCTCAATAGCCTTTCTGACCAGTTGTGACTGTACGATGAAATTATTTACTCATAAAATCTCAAGACAAAAAGAATATTCACTGGTCAATTGATCCTTTAAAGAAATTTTATTATTAATTAGCAGTTTCTTACTTTTCTAGATTTAATTCAACCAGGATTCATGGAGAGGAGTTCATGTATTTCTTTATTTGTAATTTTATGTAATTGTATATATATATTTAAAAACCAAGGAGAGATGACATATTGAGAACATAAATTACCCTAATTTATTTCCATTAACTGCCTACTTTCTTATTGCTGATACTGCTCTAAGCAGGATGTAGGCTGGACCTCTGAGCTAGTGAGGTGACCTTAGACAATTTACTTAATGTCTGAGTGTCAGTTTCATTATCTGTAAAATGGGGGTGTTAATTCTTTCTTCAAAGGCTTCTGACCTATGAGTGTTGACACTTAGGAGATATCTAGCTAATGAGAGTCTACTATTATCATTAAATATCCTTCTATTGAATCGAGAAATCCAAGATTCAATTAAGAAAGTATACTTCCCACTGGTTAGCCATAAAGATAACGCATAGACAGGGAAGTAGAATGCAACTTCCTTAAGCTGCAGAGTTTCATGTTGAGATGGCTCTGCCAGGCTGACCAGCTCACTGGAGGCTGTCTGGCAACCCAGAGAGTGCCTCAAGTGAGAGGAGCAGCTGCTTTCACTGGAGCCTCTTAAGAGGCTGGGCACCACCCGTCAGGCAGCTGAGGCAAGGCTGTTCTTGCAAGTGAACCTCCTGGAAGCCAGAATTGAATTTGTCATTTGGAACTTCCAACTTAGACAGTCACCAGGGAAGATCCTTGGAAATCAAGCCAAAGTCTTTTTTTTTTTTTTTTTTTTTTGTATTAGTTTGGCTTGCCTTGGGGAAAACAAAACAAAACAAAGAACACCCTACACCCTAAAAGAAATTGAAGCCAGTTTCTGAAGCTACTTAAAACAACTAAGCAATTAATATAATATAGACATTTGACCAATTTGTCTCTAATCATTACATTCCTCAATGGCATGAACCTCAGACTATTGACATTTTTAACCTGCTGCTAATTTGGGTGTAACCTGGTTGGCAGTACCCCATGACCAATGTGGTCCCATTGAGACGATCTATGTTCTGCCCATTGTGGTCTGTTCTCTTTGCTGTCTGGGAGGTACTGCTCTTTTGCCTAATGAGCTGCCACTCCCTAGCATAGCTAGGGTACGGAGAACAGCTCATGCTTGTCTTATCTGCCCAAAGAAGCCTTTTACTGGTTGTTATGTTGTGGGAAGAGCAGGCCACACGCGGTGAGAATGTGCCTGGCACATTCAGCACAGCTCCCCTCATAAAGAAGACATTTTTCAAGTTGTGGATCCACAGGTGTATGTAGACTAGTCTAGGTGAACCCAAACCCACCTCTGGGTTGCACGAAGACCTCTGCCTTGGGACTGCTTTGGGTGTTGGACACATGAAAGCCACAAGCACTTTTTTCAATTTAATGATTTTAAAAAAGGATTCAGTTGGAGGAAGGCTCTATTGCTAATCTCTGAAGAAGGCACTGGACAGGAACGTAAAGCCTGATTCTAACATGTGGAAGAATCAACTATGCAAAGGATATGAGTGGACAGACACTTTGATGGCTGTTCTTCTGATCAGGTTGAAAGGACTGAATAACCACAGAGCCCGAGTGGCACTAAACCGGGAAATGGTCCTCCCTTTGTTCAGCACCATAAATGTCTAAAACAAAACAGAAAAGAAGGCGGACCTCTAGTGAGAAAATACATCCTCATGCAACCATGTGTTTGAGCATAAGTAGCATCATCTCGGGGTCATGAGCAAGAGGGCTCTGGGAACCATGGGTCAATGAGAGTCAAATGGAGAACAGAGATTTAGGAAGGATCAGGGATGATAGCCATATCCTCACCCTCTCTGCAAAACCCCAGGCCCTGTGGCTGACTATGCATCAAGACGAGCCCACTGCAAGTGCCTGATGGACAGGCAGCTGACCATGGGGTTGGTAAGATGCATCATGACATTCTGTTGCATTTAATTTCACTTCTAATTAATGGATCATCCTTGGTCCTGTGATGTTCCTTCTGTTCTCTACCTCCTAGGTCTCCCCTTTTAAACCCTCCCCTGGTTCCTTCTTCCAAGCATGTAAGGGGAGTGAGGGCTCTTGGCAGATGAAAGGAGGGAGAAAGACATTTCAGTGCCTTTATTTTCTCTACAAACCGTATTTGAGATGGCTGACTCCTGCCCCTCCCAACTCCCAAACATGCACACACCATTTTTTTTCATCTGTGTAGTACAACTAAGATACAAACAGCATAATTGTCATGGAACAGCTCTTGTTTAAACTAGTGGTTCTCAAAGTTTTTGATATGAGGACCACAAAGAGCTTTTTGTTTGTGCCATGTGTGTGTATATAATACTAGAAATTTAAAACATAGAAAAATTTAAAACATAGGACTATACAAGCATACATTCCAGTAGCTATTAGACCGATGATGTCATCTTCCATCAATACCTGTACATTCACTAGTGTATGTTCACAAACGAATGTGAGTGAAAAAGACAAATGATATCTAAAAATTATTATAAAATAA